ACACAAAAAAAGGACACAATTGCCGTTCAATGGAACGAACAGATAGTGAGGGGCCCACCCATTAATAAACACTCACAATGCTATTAAATGCCAAGTTGGCATTTTAACAAGTTGAACGAGACAATTGAACGTCCCATTACGGGTGCTCTTAGGAAGTGTGTGAATTTTCATTTATTGGGAAACAAACAAGGTTAAATGTACATGGGTATCAAAATTTCTACATTTTTATTTTAAAAGTAAATGATTGTGGTGTCAAAACTAAAATGTAGGAGGACAAATTTTTTTTGAGTCTTATAGGTTTGTCAATTGCAATGCCAATAGTTCATGAATCAATTTATGTTGATACAATATCTAAATACACCATCTCTATGTTTTAATCTTATTGAGTTTCCCTTTCAGTGTTTGTGGTAGTGTGGGATTTAATAAGCTATCTATATATATAGTTAGAATCAACTTTTTTAATTAATTGATTCGGTTGGTCTAACTACAGTCTAATTTGTAATTTCTCTTTTATTAAAATATATATCACTTTAAAAAAGAAGCATCATGATTCATGTACACATGTCTATTTAGATATGTTAGATATTGACATCCCCTATATATTAATTCAAATATGCTGAGCCTAAGTGGCAGGCTCGCATGTTTCGGAATCCTATGTGGCAAAATTAAATGTTTCGTTATTGGTCTAGCATGGTCTTTTAGGGGAACTTATGCAAGTATCCCCCATTGTTGTATTTATCTCCTAGGTGTTTCTAGGGGGTGAAGATGACTTGCAGCCCGTTGGCTGCTCGTTTATGTACAATTGAGTTTATCTTATATAAAATTTGATGTTTGACAAAAAAAAATAAAAAAAAAAAAAAATGTGCTAGTGTTGGATTTAGACTTTGTATATAGTCTTGTTATAATCAATTTTAGCTGGTTAGATTCAGCCGGTCTGATAATTGTGCACTCTGTAAATTCTCTTAAGATATACTCTCTCATATTTTTATTATTTGTCATTCTGGCTTAATTGATTATTGATTAAATAAATGACGTTTTGACTACTTTGTTCATATTTTTCCATTTTTAACCCTCAATCTAATACACAGCGTCTATTCATATCTCATTTCCATAGTTTCCCATAACATCCATTAAATAAGGTTAATATTGTCAAAAAAAAAAAATTCTTAATTAGTATGTTACTTCTCAAAACGACAAATAATAAAAATAGGAGGGAGTATGTATGTGTCTGTTTAAAAGAATAATCATAATTCCTATACACATATCATTCACAAAATTCTTTTAAAAATGCTAGAGGTGTAAACGAGCCGAGTCGAGCTCGAGCCCTTAACGAGTCAAGTTCGACTCGGCTCGTTAACTTAACAAGCTCATGATCGAGCTTAAGTTTTGCTCGTTTATCAATATTAACGAGTCAAGCTCGAGCTTTAATAATTCAAAATTAAGTTTTAACAAACCGAATTATTAAAAATTACATAAAAATCATCTTTTCGAACTTTATCGAGCCAACCGTTAACCAATAAAGCTTTAATCGAGCTCGAGCTCAGCTCGTTTATCAACCAAATCGAGCTGAGCCAAGCTCACGAACACCTCGTTTAATTTAACAGCTCTCACCGCAACTACTCGACCAAATTAATTAATGGATTCAGTTCCAATTTCGGTTTAGAAACCGTACTATCCATAAAGCAACTTTTAATTGATTCATTAATTAATTTATTTCTATCACCTATACTTCAATAAACTTATTTTTATGTGGTATGTATTGCAATAACTGAATAAATGAACATAATTAATATGATTATATGACCATGTCACCCCGATTTAGGTCAAACGCGGGATGATATGTTTATATGCCGCGAGTTTTTCTAAGACAAGATTTGAGCGATAAACTGTAGTAGTTTATTGGTTCGTTTTTTAGGATTCCCTGATGGTCCGTGTTGGGGATGCCACGTGGACTTCAGCATAAAATTATTGATATTTTTGCAAAATTTAACATTACCTGATGTTGGCTTTTGGGGGCCCGTCGCATTCAATGGCTTTAAATTAAATCTTTTCTT